CTCACTCCATCTTGAACACACCTCACTCCATCTTGAACACACCTCACTCCATCTTGAACACACCTCACTCCATCTTGAACACACCTCACTCCATCTTGAACACACCTCACTCCCTCTTTAACACACCTCACTCCCTCTTTAACACACCTCACTCCCTCTTTAACACACCTCACTCCATCTTTAACACACCTCACTCCCTCTTTAACCCACCTCACTCCATCTTTAACCCACCTCACTCCCTCTTTAACACACCTCACTCCCTCTTTAACACACCTCACTCCCTCTTTAACACACCTCACTCCCTCTTTAACACACCTCACTCCCTCTTTAACACACCTCACTCTCTCTGTGTCACTGCCCGTCTTCACCACAGCGAAGGGTTCTGGTCGGCTCCAGTCCCAGAAGTGCAGCTCGTTGTTGGTGGCGATGAGGAGGAGCTGGGCAGTGGGGTGGAAGGCCAGCGAGGCGATGGCCACGTTGCTTTCTGTAAACCAACTCTCACTGCCGCCCTGCAGAAAAAAACACAACTCTAAAAATAACTCAGGTAGTTTTTAAAGATCTGACCTCAGGTTTCAGACAATAAACTAAACAAATTGTTTGAGAGATTTCCTAAATGAAAACCAATTCAGAGATTATGTTATTGAGCCATTTACATGTATATGTGATTTATCATTTTCAACAGGAATATTTCCAAACATTAAGGTAATTGCTCTTTTTAAGAATGGTATAAATGTGTTTTCAACAACTACTGAACAATATCTTAGTTGCCAGTTTTCTAAAGAAATTTTTTTGTAACCAGGTTTAGAAACATTTATAGAAAAACTGAATATTGTAGCAGGCAGTGTGGGTTTAAAACAAGTAATTCTAATTTAATGGCTCTCATGGAATGAATAGAAAAGATAAGTGCTGTTGATCAAAAACAGTGCGTTTGTTGATTTAAAAAAGGCTTTGACACCACTGACCACAACATTCTTACTGAAATCTGAATCCTTATCTGAACAACAGGAAACAGTTTGTTCAGGTAAATAATGTAAGATAAGTAATATTAGATGTTATAGAATGATAAAGGCTGGTTTGTTGAAGAAATATAATATATAATAAGTATGTGGGGAAAAAAGGGGGCAGAAATATGATTTTATCTTCTTTCTGCTTCCTTTCATTTCATTTATGACTTTTGTTTTTATTGTTTTAATGAATGAATTTAAAAAAAACGTAGAAGAATTTAAATCTCATGTTTTCTAAAGTCGATGAGCTGAGCAGGACCACAGACCTGATCCAGTTCCTTAGAGGAGGAAGGGGTACTCACATGCAGGTCCCAGATCCGGACTTCGCCATCAAGGCACCCGGAAGCCACCAGGCCAGGAATGGTGGGGTGAAAGGTCACGCACCAGGGGGTTCTACGGTGGCCCACTAAGGAATGTAGGCACTTTCCAGTCTTCACCTCCGTTATGTAAATGTTGTGGTTGACGTGTGTGGAGGCCATCAGGGTCCTACAGGATGAAAAAATAAAAGTTTCTGTGATGTGTTGGTCTCTCAAGGCTCTAACGTTGAAGCATTCCTGCCTCATCAGGTCAACAAGTGAAAAAAAGAGAAGCTAAAAGTTTTTTTTTCAGACACAAGCTGCAGGAATCAAACTAATTCTGCTTGAAGTTTTAAACATCCAGGTGTGCACAGCAGCTGGTTCTCTCACCTGTCGGGGCTAAAGGCCAGCAGGAAGGTAGAGCGAGGGCTGTCCGGCAGCTCCACTTTCTGTTAGAAACACATTTGGACATTTTCAGTCTTTTCTTTATGCTTGATTCATTTTTTTACACCTTTTTCTTTTTTTGCTCAGCTGTCAATCATTTGTAGCTCTACGTCTTGATTGGCATCCTTTCAGTTACGGTTAGTAATTTTCTGTTAATAATGGTAATATTTTGTCTGCTGCTGAAACGATGGAACTTAACATCTCTCCCTCCACCCAACTGAATATTTTGACTTTAGTTTTTTTCCACCAACACCCAGAAGAAGAACAAAATTGTGTTTGGAAACTTGTTTTTATTGAGTCTGAGTGAACTGAGCGCGCTCAGACCCACCTGGCTCTGCCACTTCATCCATCGGACCTTCTCCTCCACCAGCAGCTGCAGGAGCCTCTGAGAGCCGAAGGTCTGAGATCCACGCTCCCGGCTCGACAGGATTCGGACCGAGTTCCTCGGACGGGACGCCATGTTGCTACGGGAGGGGGAGGAGGGGCCTCAGCTGATTGGCTGCTCGCTGCCGCCGCTGTCAGTCTGTCATCGCCATGCAGAGGCGGGGCTAAGAGAGAACAGCAGAATCAGATCAATGAACCAAAGAGGAACTAGATTAATGTCACTAAAATAATAAACAGGTGTGAAAGAAACAAAAAAATACAGTTTAAATCCCAGATTAGATATTTTTAACGTATTACTTTTATTTTCCACCAATTTTAAAGCTTCAAGTGTGACTTAAACTCTGTTTACAATCAGTTAAACTCCAACAAGGTTTCTCTAAATGAAAACATTTGAATGTCCTGATAATGTTCCTCTTCATCACCAACCAAAGCTGCTCTGACCCGACTCTGCAGGACCTGCAGTCAGGAATCAGCAGCGTGTCAACAGATGAACTCTGAGATTAAACATGTCCACACAGCAAAGATCCCAATAATCCTCACAGACGAGCTGGATTCATCCTAACCTGGACCTCAGTCAGGTTAAAATGAGACGTGAACACTTCCTGAAACAGGGTTCCTACAGTTTAAGTTCAATTTAAGACTTTTTAATGCCAGGTGAAATCAAATTTAAGACCAATTTCACAATAAACAGAAATTACAAAAA